GCAAGAAGCTACTCTGATTCCAATGCTTCTATTGGCGGCAGGGGCCGTCCTAAACGAAGGAGAAAAACACTGAAAACAAGTAGAAGATACCCCAGTCATAATGGTGTGGCTACACCCCTGCACTTTAGAGTAGAACACAGGTGACATCATTGGCAATGCTGACCAGTATAAGATCCCATCCCACCCTGATCTAGATTCCTGTCCTTCTGATTGGCAACCTCAGTCCAGCTGGGTAATGGTGACACACACCTTTAATCCCAGCTCGTAGGAGGCAGAGGCAGACAGAGGATCTCTGAGTCTGAGGCTAGTCTGGTCAAAGAGTGAGTTACAGGGCTATATAGACAAACTGTCTTTTTTTTTTTTTTTGAGACAGGGTTTCTCTGTAGCTTTGGAGCCTGTCCTGGAACTAGCTCTTGTAGACCAGGCTGGCCTCGAACTCCCAGAGATCCGCCTGCCTCTGCCTCCTGGGTGCTGGGATTAAAGGCGTGCGCCACCACGCCCGGCTAGACAAACTGTCTTGAAAAACTAAAAGGAAAAGAAAGAAACAAAATCTCAGTCCAACCTGACCTCAACCTTGGCAGAGCTGGAACAGGCGAAAGGAGGTATCCTTGAGGAAGTGTTGGGCCTAGGCAACTGCCTCCGGCTGGTCAGCAGGGAGGAGCCAGTGTCTGACCCAAGGCACCTGGTAGAGGTGGACCTTCCAGACAGGAGCTCCAAGGTCACTGGGACTACATCTGATCGTGTCCTCTCACAGGCAGCTTGTCCATCCCACCATTCAGGCAGGGGTTCCTGTTTTAGGAGACAGTGAAATTGGAGAACTAGAGGGGAGACCGAATCCAGGAGAAGGAACTGTGTTCATCAGGCATTTCAAGACAGCGGGCAGTTAGATCAGGTGTTTAAGATAGATGCGTGCATGTATACAGGTGCACAGAGGGGAGGAACTCCAGGCTAAAGTCAGAGATTCTAACCAATCTAACTACAGGAGTAAGCACAGATCAAGACGGGACTTGTGGGCATGGTGGAGAGCAGGAGGCACAGGAGGCAGACAGGGTATGAAGGCAGTAAGGTCCAACCCTGGATGAAAAAAAAGCGGAGGGCCCAGCTCAGCCAAAGGTACCTCTTCCTGAGGCTGCAGGCCACAGAGGATGGAGGGCAGCGGTGTCCATAGCTTCGTTTCATGCACACAATGGTTAATATTGCCAGCTTGACAGGGTCTAAAAGTCACCTAGGAGACACATCTCTGGGCAGGCCAGTGATGAAGTTTCTAGCCTGGGTTTACTGAGATGAGAAGATTCACTCTAACTGGGGGTGGTGGCACCATTCTATAGGCTGAGGACGAGTTGAGCACCAGCCCCCATCTGCTTCCTGAAAGCAGACACAGCGTGACAGCTGCCTCATGCTTCTGACACCATGACATCAGGAAGGGCCGTAGCTTGGTGGTCCAGAATAAACCATCCTTTCGCAAGTTACTTCTCGTTGGAGGAGCTCGCCTGTTGGTTCCCGGCTGCTCAGCCCCGAAATAATCACACACAAACCATATTATTTGCAATACTGTTATTGCCAATAGCTTAAGCGTATTTCTGATTAACTTATATTCTAAACTAACCCATCTCTATTAATCTGTGTATCACCACGTGGCTGTGGCTTACTGGGTAAAGTTCTGTCCAGTGGCTGTCTACAGTGGCAGAGCGGGGGCAGCGCTACATGGCTTCTTCCTGACTCAGTCTCCTTTCTCCCAGCATTCAGTTTAGTTTCCCTGGCTTATCTAAGTTCTGCCCTACCAACAGGCCAAGGCAGTTTCTTTATTCACCGATGGTATTCACAGCACATAGAGTGGAATCCCACATCGACTTCTGTTGGTACTTTGCCACAAGAAAAGTAAGCATTTAGCTCTGGGCTCCCAGTCTTCTTGGCCTCCCACAGGCCTGGTCATCCTTACTGTGTCCTCTGTACTCCACCCCTCTCCAGGTGTATAAGTTGTCAGCTCAGGTGTCTAAGAGGCCAGTCAGACCAGGTTAGCCAGTATCACCTGCCTAGATCACCTTTATCACTGCCTGAAGTCATCCCAGGAACCCAGCTGACCCCATGTCAACACTCTCACAACTATGCCTCCTTCAGGCACTTCCGGTAGACCCGGCCACACCTTCCTCCATCCTTGTGGTCTTTTTCCAAAAGTACTCATCCTACATTGGAACCACCAGTTCATCAACCACAAGTCATCGGCTTGGCTTCACATTCATGCCAGAGCCAGCCAGGCTTTGGCAAAGTGGCAATAAGAGGGTGATCCTAGTACCCTTGTCAGCACTGTGCCCCAGAAGTGTCAGCCTGGCTACTGAGAAGTCACTGCACGCTTCTCTGGTTTGTGGCCAGCAGTGACCGCACTCATTTCACCCATGCTTGCTTTTCTGTCCTCATATTGTCTGGATAAACAGCTGAGAACACTATGCCAAAGACCAAATCCCTGCGTCTATTAGACCAGAAACTTCCGGGTCTGAGCCACGGGTTCAGAAGGTTGGTTTTCCTGATTGGAACCCTCCTGCTCACAGGCAACTTTGGAGGGAACTGCCTGATCCCAACTTTCAGGACAGATGCTCTGCTGAGCAAAACCAGTGGGGTTGGGATGGCCATTTCCATAGACACCTAACAAAGTCCTGTGTCAATGGAAGAAACGCAGTCCACACAAAACACAAGTGTCTTCTCATCACGCCTCCAACCTGTGGCTGGGGAAGCTGCTGGGACATCGTGCCACTAGATCAGAAGGGACTATGCTGATATGAGCATTATGGTATTGTACAACACTATCCTTGGAATGTAACAGCCACTGTCAGAGCTGGGGCAACTTTTTTTTTTTGTTTGTTTGTTTTTCGAGACAGGGTTTCTCTGTGGTTTTGGAGCTTGTCCTGGAACTAGCTCTTGTAGACCAGGCTGGTCTCGAACTCACAGAGATCCGCCTGCCTCTGCCTCCCAAGTGCTGAGATTAAAGGCGTGCGCCACCACCGCCCAGCTCTGGGGCAACTTTTAAAAGACCCTCAGAATTGGGCAGTTGACAGTTGATATTCCTGCTAGATGGGCCGAGGAGCATCACCCCACTCTCATCTATCTCAGTCATGGTAGAGGCAATTCATTTGTATTTTTAATAAAGCTTGCCTGAAGTGCAGAAAGTAAAACAGCCACACTGACCAGCCTTACAGTAACACACACCTTTAATCCCCGTAGACACACTAGTTGCCATTGAAACCGGGCAGTGCATGCCTTTAATCCTAGAACTAGAGAGGATTGTAAAATGGGAGACAGCTCTCAGTCTCACACTGAAATTCCTGGAGGCAGGATCACCATTTTGGCCTCAGGTCAAGATTAAGAGCCAGTGGCTGGCTGTTTTGCTTTTCAGATCTTCAGGCTGAGCCCCAATTTCTGTTTTTATTAATCGTGTTTCAAGTCATCCTTTCAGGGCCTCCCAGACACCTGTAGGTAATTTTGCCATAACTGTATGTAAATGGAGACTGCATGTCTGTTTCCTGGCCGTCCAGGCCCGAATAGTCTCACAAAAACCATATTAATTACAACACTGTTTGGCCTATTAGCTCAGGCTTCTTATTAATTGACTTTTACATTTTAAGTTAACCCATATTATTAATCTATATATCGCCATGAGGTTGTGGCCTATTGGTAAGGCTCAGGTGTCCTATTTCCTTCAGCAGCTACATGGCATCTCTCTGACCCCCACATACTCTCTCTCTCTCTTCCAGCCTGGCTATATTCTGTCTGCTATAGGCCAAAGCAGCTTTATTCATTAACCAATAAGAGCAACACATCTGCAGAAGGACTTCCCACATCGATTGTGCATGAACCTGTCTCAGGACTTAGTTAGAGTATATGCCCTGTGCAGGGTTGGCAGAAGGGTGGGAAGTCACCATCCATGCCTGGGTGTGGTTCCCTTCTAGTCAATCAGATTCTGTAGGCAAACCCAATAACCTTTCTGGTCCCCAGAGTTGGGCTCCAGTGAAGTCTACAGTTTGTCTCTGGCACCCTATGAGGTGGTGGACATTTGTTTATGTCTCCCTAGAAAATGTCCCACACAACTGGTGACAACATTCTACACCTGACAATACACCTAGGGGAAACAACACTTCTCTGAGTTTCCTTTCTACGGTGTTCTTTAAAAACCACCCCCAAGGGCTGGAGAGATGGCTCAGTGGTTAAGAGCCCTGCCTGCTCTTCCAAAGGTCCTGAGTTCAATTCCCAGCAACCACATGGTGGTTCACAACCACCTGTAATGAGATCTGGTGCCCTCTTCTGGCCTGTATACTTAATAAATAAATAAACCTAAAAAGTAATTAAAAAAACCACCCCCAACATTTACAGAACCAGAAGTTGTCTTTTTTTATTTTCTTTTATGGATTTTTGAGACAGGGTTTTTCTGTATAACACCTCCGGCTGTTCTGGAACTCACTCAGTAGACCAGGCCGGCCTCGAACTCAGAGATCCACCTGCCTCTGTTCCCAAGTGCTGGGATTAAAGTAGTGTGCTGCCACTGTCCAGCCACCTTCATTCTTAAATTTAAACCAATACAATTATGGGATAAACTGAGGCTGGAGAGATGGCTCCGAGGTTAAGAGCACTGTCTGCTCTTCCAGAGGTCCTGAGTTCAATTCCCAGCAACCACATGGTGGCTCACAACCATCTGTACTGAGATCTGGCGCCCTCCTCTGGCATGCGGGCATACATCGAGGCAGAATGTTGTATACATAATAAATAAATCTTAAAAAAAATTATGGGATAAACTTAGATACATTTCTTTAAATCTTTTATTTAAAACCATTCTTTTTTCCCTGAGAAGGGGATCCCAGTACATTGTCCAAGATGGCCCATAACTCCTAGGCTCAAACGACGATCCGCTCTGATCCCAGCTGTGGATGGCCGCCTGAGAGTGCAGCATGGAGACACAGCCTGGCCATTGCTGGGGTGAGCTTTTTTAAAAAATGAAAAGACAGACACAGAGAGAACTCACAAAAATGCATTACTTTATTGCACCAAGATCTTGGCAATATCTGGGAGCTCTTGAGAGAGAGAGTGGAGAGTGTGGGGATACCTGTACACATACAGACGCAGCCACACAAGGATGTAGGGTAAGAACAGCCCCCAAACAGGCTGGTGAGCAAGAACAGAAACACCAGGGAGACAGCCCTCTGCACATGGGCCCAAACCATATCAACTGCCAGACACAAGGTTCAAACTGATATGATTTGATCCAACAAAATGGCTACTTTTAGAAAAGCCTCAGTTACTTATGTCAGGATATGTCGCCTAGAACTCTTGATGATTTTTCCAGGACCATTGTGTCCCGAGCCTGTTTCTAATGGCTTCTAAGGAAGGAAAGGACTTGCCTTCACTGATGTGACATATGCTGCCAGAGGTTAGGATGTCAGTTGGGGGATCATGACTATCCAAGAGGCAGTGGGTTACACCCCCTGGAAGAGATTTTACAACGGATAATCTAGCAGACAAAGGAAGGAACCAATGTAGAGGAAAACACAGGAGACAGATCAATTCTGTGCTGGCAGCTTCTATGACACTCAACTAGAGAATGTCATAGGAAAAAACAAATGTGGCCTAGAAGCAACTGATACAGGAACAAATGACAATTCCTGCCCATGAAGGTGGCTGCCTCCCTCCAAGACAACGCATGGAGTCCTCACCCTTCCTGGACACGGTGTCCAGAACTCAGTCCACACAAGACTAATTACATTCGGCTGGAAGACTCAGCCAGCAGACCCATCATGGAACTGCTGCTCCCCCCCTTTGGAAATAAAGGGAGGGACACAAACAGGAGGGAAACACCCACATGGAAACAAGACCTGACCTCCTCACACAGAGAACACAGCCTCTTCCACATCGCAACACCAAGGCCCTGACTGGGCAGCTGGATAAAACGCTACACGTGGAGTTGACAAGGCAGCCCCCACCCCTCCCAAGAGGCCCAGACTGAGGAGGCCAGTCCAGAGCAGCCTAGGACTTCGGGAAAGAGACGTGCCACATGAGCAAGAACCTTCTGGAAACTCCCATTTCCTGGGTACTGTCTTCCCTTGGAAATATGGCCCTCACTAGGGAGTCTTGTTAAACCAAAGTCTGCAGGGACAGCTTGAGCAAGACAGAAAAGGACTCTTTTTGAGTCATACAATCTTCTCAATTTCAAAGCACTCACAAAATTGAGCAAATGAAGCCAGTATTTGCATATCAGGGAACATATTGCTACAGGAAGCCACAGGCCTGGTCAAAAATAAATGCTTTATCATAAGTAGTAAAATAACGGAGAATTCATCTCTAAAGACCACCACCTTGACAGAGACCCGTAGGTTAGTGCAGATGCAGGAGAAGCTCGTCAAAGTTACCTCGGCAGGGATAGCAGCCTTAGAAGCAGAGGCGCTGGCACGTAGTTCAAGGCTCTCCTTTGCCTAGAAGCTGCTGATTTCTAGAAGGTACGGAGGCCTTTCGGCCTTTCGAGGAGATGCACTTGGGGGTGGGGGGCAGTGCAGTCACCAGGGGTTCTGCAGCTGACAGTCAGTCATACAGAGGCCCTTTTGAGGATAGGGCCACAATACAGCTCCAGCAGGAGAGTAAAGGAGGGCTCACCAGAAGAGGCACTAACATGCCGCCATCCTGAGTGAAGGACATGCTGGGAGATGCTGGCCCCAGTCTTGTCTCTGACAACCCCAGACCAGGAACAGAGGGGTTTCCTACCTAGACCCCAGGGTCTATAAGGATGCTCAGCCTTTGCAGATGTCTCCTGCATTACTGTCGGCATGACACCACAGGCAAGTCTTTCTCTTGCGAGGTTCGTTATGAATGCCACCAGAGGCCCTGAGCTAAAGCCCCAGGGCTTCTACGTTAGATCATCTGTGAACAGTGGCACCAGGAGCCTCCACCATGGCAGGCTCACAGTGCAGTGGAGTCTGCACAAGGCCCCTCCTCCAAATCAAGTGGACAGTTCCCAGGATGTGATGTGACAGCTTTGGGATGAAGTGGCACAGGTGCACTGGTCTTCCTGGTGAGAAGAGAGACCATGACAATCTTATGACATCCCTGGGTCCTTCAAAAGACAGGTCGGCCACATCTACAAACAAACATAAGACACACACACCACAAACTCATGCACCAGGCAGACACACTACACACATACACCAAATGGTCACAGACACCATATATACCACAGGTCACACATGCCACGTACATACCAGCCATACATACCATACACACGCTGCAGACACATAGCACACCCCCCCACAGATAAACATACACACAACAGATTATACACCAGAGACTACACACGCTACACACATACCAGACATACAATCAGCTACAAGAGACAGATGTACAAAATAGAAGTACACACTGACACGCACACCATATGACTAGACATACAGAGCACCACGCACAGCAGACAGGCACACACCCAGGCTGACCTCTAACAAGCACAGCGAGCTCAGCGGCGATAGCTGAGACTGGCGACCTTAGCCGGGTGAGTCACAGACCAAAAGTTCCGTCTGCTCTGAAGCTTCTGGAAGGCATTGAAGTTTCTCTTCTTTTCTCTCTTCAACTTTTTAATTTTCTTTTCCTACATTAAGAACCACAGTGTCACACAGTTCCCAGAGAGGGCTCCTCCAAGCCTCAGAGACTTCTTGCTGCATACACGGCATATGCTTCCTAGACACACGTGCAGTTACCGCACATGGATGGCCTCTGAGGGAGGCTCTTGCCACCCTCGTCTTCCTGAGGATGAGACAGAAGGAAGAGACCCACACCTGCCCAGAGTACTGGATGCACGGAGAAACAGTTCAGCGGGAGGGAACCCAGGAGGCCGACTCCAGCCTTGCCCAGCTGCTCTGTGCACACACAACTGCACCAGAAACTGCTCTCAGTGCTCACGCTGAACCGTGCCCACCTGCAGCCCCAAGCCTATGGTCACAGCCGCACACCATACCTTTCCTCGATCAAACTCCTCATCCCAGTCATCAAGCACGGTCTGGGTCCGGGCCAACCTGCTGTCTTTGATGGCATCCTGACTGACTGCTGAAGGCTCACCATCCCAGGTCAGAACTGTACAAGACACATCCTGTCACCATCCATCTGTTCTAACCACTGTAGGGTTCTGACTGCCTCTCAACACAAGAAACATGGAAGGGGAGGTGGGTGTGATCGGTGTGAGCTCCAATTCCAACTGCAAACTTCTCTCTAACCTGGGCTCTCACTTCAGAAAAAGGGTTCATGCTCCAAGTCTGCTTTGTAAAACAGGGCCAAAGTCAGTACTGCCAACACGAGGGCTGGAAGGCTTCATCCCTTCCAGCTCTTCTGAACTGGGGACCGGATATTCTACTCAGGTGGCCCAGGGTTTATGCTCCTCACTTTGCCCTGCTCTTGGGTCTCAGATCTTTCGGATCCAGGGAGAGAATCTGCCTTTCTGCCACAGCAGAGGTCGTGTTAAAGTATATTCAACAACTGTTGAAGTTTTATAAACCTGAGCAGTGTGGTCTCCACATCTCATAGCACACCAAGACCCACCTCACCCCCTCCCACAACCCAAATCAGTCAGTCCCTAGGAAGCCCTGCCCCAGACCCGTACCTTTTTTCCCATAAGCCTTATCAGATGAGTCCTGGAGCAACACCTGGACCACATCGGGCTCTTGATCTCTGTTCCAGCCAACAAGAGGTGCTTGTCCCAGTCCTGTAATCAGAGGACATACTAAAACAAATCACAGAAGAAACAATCACACATCCTTGTAATGGCACCAACAGACAACTTTCTAGTGATAATCCTACCTCACTGTCCAAGTCCATTTGTGAGAAAACAACAAAAAGCCAGCACTGAGATCTCTGTCCTCAGCTGACAGAACCACTTCCAAGTGCAATCTAACTACCCAGCCACAAAGGGCCTGCTGCAGGTAGGACCTTCAAGTGTCCCACAAGCCCATGCCCTGTTGCGGGAAGTGTTTCAGGGCACTGGGTGCTTGCCCTCCCCAGGAGGAGTAGGTTCACAGTCACCCTTTTGCTCTCTGGCTTCCTGACCGTCAGTGAGCAGCTCTGCTCTGCATGTGCCACAGTGATGAGCTGCACCACAGGCCCAGAACTACAAGATGCCCAGAACCTAGACTAGAGCTCTGCTCCTGCCTCCCTCCTGAGCTGTTGGATTACATGCTCATGGCTATGCTAGCCATGCCTTTTCTCTGAAATGACTGAGAGATTAGCTGCTGACAGAAAGATGGCATGTGGTGAGAGCTCCCAGTTGCCTGCAATAAGGAATAGTGAGAGGCCACCTTTGTGGCTATCAGCAGCAGTCCTCACCCAGGCGGTCACTACAAAGATGGCCATTCACGCTCAACTCAGGGACTGGGGTGACACTGGGCCTCGGGCTCCTCTGGCCTTCTGGGTGCTGGCTTTCTTCCTCTTCCTGCTGTGAGGCATGTGTCCTTTTTCTCCTCTTCTTCTTCCTCTGCAACTCTGTCCTGGCCTCAGGCTCACAGTCGTCTGCAGGGCAGCAGCTGTGGGGAGCCAGAGGAGGGGGACAGTCAGCCCTGCAGGCACACCACAGGCAAGAGTGAACCTCCTTGATGGCACCACAGCTCCACCTCATGGGCCTGAGAAACAACTCAGCCTGCTGACCCGAGTTTGATTCCTATTCCCTCAAGTTGTCCACTACACATGTGCCATAGTGTGTGCGAGCATGCTCACATGCACACACACACACACACACACACACGTGTAAACAAGTAAATATAATGCTTAAAAAAAGTTGTTGATATGGCTCAGTGGGTAAATGTGCTTGCTACCAAGGCTGACAACTTGAGTTTGATCCCCAGAACCTACATGGTAGAAGGTGAGAATTAACACCTGCAAGCTGTCCTGACCTCCATGTACATGCATGTGCACGCACACACAACACACACACATACACAAATTAAATTAAATTCATTTAATTACAAGGGGAAGGGGGCCTTAGAAAGAAACCAAAGCAGGGCTGAAGAGATGGCTTAGAATTTAAGAGCACTGGCTGTTCTTCCACAGGACCAAGGTTCAACTCCCAGCACCCACATGGCACATCATAACCACCTGTACCTCTAGTTCTAGGGGCTCTGAAACCCCTCTATCAATGCACATAAAACAAACAAATAAATAATAAAACCCCTGAAAGCTCCACCCCAACACTCCTGAGACCGCTGGCAATGCCGTGCAGATGGGAGTTTACTCCACACCGAGCTCACTCCACCCTGTGTGAGGCTCGCTGTCCACAATGACAGTCAGCATGATGCTGAAGATAACACACAATCCTTGCTTTATCTGGGGCACGTATACTGCATCCACAGGATGTTGTTGCAACCTCATCTAAACACACAGCCTGGCCTGGGGCCACATGACCCTGTAATTCTTGGCCCTTCTTATGCACAGTGATATCCACGGCCTGGATGTGGCTATCTTCTTTCAGCCTTTGGCATAAACTCACACAGGACACTTTCCACCCCACGTCAAGGCCAGCACTGTACTGTTAGCCCACACCACCCGGGAAGGCTATGGATACATCCCAGCCATGCTCTTACCCATGCTGTAGAAGACTCTGGGAGAGGATGGCTTCCTGGCTAAGTCTCTCTGATCTCTTCCTCTTCCTCCTTTTCCTGCTGCTTACATGGTGACTGTCCAGGATGTGACTCACTTGATGGTCATTTACCTGGGGCTGTGTACCCTCTTCCTTCTGGTCCTGAGACTGGCCTTTCTGCTGGGGAGCCGTGGTAGCCATATCCTCCACGCACTTCTTCTTCTTCCTCTTCTTGCGTACTGCTGCAGGTGCTCCCCCGAGGCACTGTGGGAGATGTGTGTCTATACCCAGTCTCTGGGGATCTCCATTAGGGGTCTTTTTCCTCTTTCTGGAGGGGCTGTGCGGGGCCTCGCTGGCCTCTGGCAGCTGGTGTAAGTGGGACTTGAAGTGCCCGTTGACCTGAGGCAGGGGCATCCAGGCAGAGGAGCGGCAGCTCTGTGGCTCTGATGTCCCTAAGGGCTTGGCGCTACTACTGGACAGTGATGCAGAGTGGGGGTGGATGGAATGCTTCGGGAGGGTAGATGGTCGGGGAGCAGGTGCAACAGCCCTGTAGACAGTGTACAGGGAAAGTCACTGTAGAAGACCTGCACAAGTCATTCCTCTGCCAACCCTCACCCCAGCTCCCTTCACGTGTTAGGGTTTGAGACGAGATCTCTCTATGTAGTTCGGGCTGGTCCAGAACTGGCTAAGCAGACCGGGCTGTTCTCGAACTCACAGAGATCTGCTCGCCTCTGCCTCCTGAGTGCCTGGGTTAAAGGTGAGTGCCACCCTATCCAGCTCACCCTGGAATTTTAAAAGGTTATTCTGTCTCTGATTCTTAGATACACATGCAAATTCCATAGCTTTTAAAAGCAGGCTAACAAAATTCAATCTATGTGCCGGGCGGTGGTGGCGCACGCCTTTAATCCCAGCACTCGGGAGGCAGAGGCAGGCGGATCTCTGGGAGTTCGAGGCCAGCCTGGCCTACAAGAGCTAGTTCCAGGACCGGCACCAAAAGCTACAGAGAAACCCTGTCTCGAAAAACCAAAAAAAAAAAAATTCAATCTATGTAAAATCAAAGTTAGTCCATGTCACAGTTTCTTGTTACAAAGTTTTTTGGTTTTTTTTTTTTTTTTTTGGTAGGTTGAAAACTTAACAGGAACCTTGGGCATGCCAAGCAAGCACTGTACCCCTGGGCTACAAGCAGAGCACAGATCTGAGCATTATACATTCTATTCTTTTTAAATCCAGGCATGGTGGCACATACCTGCAATCATAGTACTTAGGAGGTTGAGGCAAGAAGACCAGACAGTCGAGGGCAGCCTTTACCACTTAGTAAGTTGAAGAGCAGCCTGTGCCATTTGACAGCCTTTCTTCAAACAGACTGATAAATGATACAAGTGAGTGTGTCGACACTTGCTGTGACCCAGAACTTAGGGAATAGAGGCTGGAGGGTCATAAGTTCAAGGTCATCCTCCAACAATCTTCAAATCTGAGTTATGCAAAGGCTACAGCAAGCAAGATCAGCTGGGCAGCTCAACATAAGCCTCAGTCACAGCTCGTGGGAGGCAGAGACAGGTGAGCTCCTGGCCAGCCAGGGCTATGTAAGTGAGATTCTGTCTCAAAACCAAACCCCCAAACCCTCCCTTCAAACAACAAAAGCTAAAAGCAAAACAAAGGAACCAAATCCTTACGTTTCCAAGTTTTCAACTCAAATGTGTTAAGAGCTAAAATAAACAAAACATCCTGTCCAGGTTGATTTTCCAATCTCCAGAGGCCACAATGGTTCCCTTGGGGACTGAGCATTCCAAGAGCAGCAAAACAAGCTATGCACCATCCACAGTTATGTTCCTTTGGATCTGGGCTGGGGACTGGGGACCCAATTTCATAGAGGCAACTATTGTAAGAGGAATAAAGTAGGGACTGAGTATGTGAGGCATGCCTGTGTGGGCACTTCAAAGGCTGAGTGGATTCGTGGAGGCTGCACTTGTTATCACCCAAGTGGAAGACTAGCTGTGCCACCCAAATTAGTGTCACTCTCAGTGTCTGCTGGAGCTTTAAGAAAACATTTACACTGAGGCTGGAGAGACGGCTCCGCACTTAAGAGCACTCGTTGCTCTTGTAGGTTCAGTTTCCAGCACCCAAATGGTAGGTAGCTCACATTCACTTTAACTCCAGCTCCTCTCTTCCAACCTGTGGGCACCAGGCACACATGCATGGTGCGGATATACATGCAAGCAAAACATCCATACACTGAAGCCTAAAAAAAAACAATTAAAACAAAATAGCTTGTTAGCTTGTGCCAAGTGTGGTGACGCAGCTTTAATCCCAGCATGGAGGAGGCAGAGGCAGGAGGATCTGAGTCTGGGGCCAGCCTGGACTATATAGGAAGACCCCATCTCACACAAAATCCTGACAAGGAAGGAACAACTCCCCCCAGCGCCTCAACATTTGGGAACCTTAATATTTAAGAACACACCAACAATGTCATGCTAGAGACAGGACGTATGCACACTCAGGGTGGGGGTGGAGGCAGCAACAGATGTAACGGCCTCCTGGAATTGGAGGAGCCCAGCAGTGACCCAGGACCTCACTCTTGCCCTCTCTGTTCCTATCTCCCAGCTGCTTAGGCATTTGGGTCCCTGTGAACCCAGATAACCATAAATCTTCACATCATACCACTCAATACTCCTAAGGGACACCAGTACCATGTGTTCCTGCACCGCACTGGATCACAAAGATCGTCTACAGATGAGATTAAAGGGCTCTGAAGAATCCTAAAGCACTTAAGGTCTCCCTGTCCAGCCTGACATGCAGCTGGCAGCCTGGATGCTTTACAGAGCTAAGGAATGGAAGCACTGTTGGAGACCAAGTCATGACCCTGGCAGGAAAGATGTCCCTACAGGGGTTCACAAGCCTCTGGACTCACAGGGTCTAACTTCTTGAGGAGGTACAGGTCAACATAGTGCCCAGCACTCCAGGTTACAACGTGCTGTGGCAGGCAGGTGAAAACTTAAGACTTGGAACTATGAAGACGATCAACTCTGATCAACTGAGGTTCTTTTACCAGACAGGGATGATAAGAGGGGCGTCTGTCCTCGATGACCCATGGCTCTTCACTAGCCAAGTACACGTACCCACAGGAAGGAAGGAGTCGGCACCCCGGGGCCTGTGCCCAAGCTCACCTGGTTTTACTGACAGGCCCAGAGGAGGCAACGACGGGGTGGGTGGCTTTCATGGGGTAGGTGAGGTCGGAGAATGCTGAGGGGGGAGGTGAACGGATGTCATTGCCGGTCGCCCTCCGCAGGGTGCTGGCCTGCAGTTATTGACATAAATAAAAACTTGGTGGTCTAAAAAAGGTTTCCGTGAGTGAAGAGGGAAAATAAAATTGAAAAATAAATAAAAATAAAATAAAAGAGCCCAGAAAGATGAATAAAGGGATAGAAGAAAAAAAAAAGGAGGAGGGGGTAGGTGGAGAAAGGGGATGGCAGAAGAAGAACCAGAGAGTGTTGTTGGTTAGAAATAAAAAGGAAAAAGGGAGGAATTTAAACAAGCACCCAGCACAGTTCCCACCTATCACTCACTGCCCACGCAAGCTCTGAACGGGAAACTCCTTCCCAGTCCCCTACGTCCCTCCCGCCACCATGGCTCAGCTGTCCTTCCCACCCTGAGCAGTCCAAGAGCCCACAGTCCTTCCTCTGTGGCTCAACTAGCAGACTCCGTTTACAGAGAACTGGTTAGTACTCTTAGCATAGACTCCTCAGACACCTGTGGTGGTAAGTAACTGGTGTCCCCTCAAACCACCACCTCCACCCTAGACAACCTGCTCTCAATTGGCAAAAGGCTGGGAACGCCAACAGACACTCTTCCTCTGGATGAAAGGAGAGGAGGCCACAGTTCTTTGTGATGTTCTATCTTCCTATGCCCACATCGAGTCCCAAGTGACATTTTACAAGTTACTTCCAGAGAGGAGACCCCCACAGACCCACCTTCTTGGCCGACAGGGCCAGTTTTTTGGCTGGTGGAGGAGACATGAGGCTTGTGGGCTCAGAGGCGGTGCTGCTCAGGGCAGGGGACTTCAGCTTCACTATCTTGGGATCTGCTCCATTCAGCAGTGCTTTGGAATGGCCAGTGGTGGGACAGTCTGTTCCCTGAGAATCACAGAAATGCGTAGCTCTGCCCTCTGCGGTCTGCGGAGCCTTGGCAGGGTCACTGCTGGCAGAGTGCTCAGGGCTTGAGCCGCTCGAAGCCCCCTTCTCCAGGTCCACATCACTGCCTTCCCCCTTCAGCCTATGCCCGTTAGCAAAGGCTTTGACCAGGAACTTTGGGGAGGTAGAGAAGATGGTGTCCCTGCTTGCCCAGGACCCAGGTCGCTGACTCCTGGATTCGCTGGTCCCAGGAGAGCCGTGAGAAGTAGTGGGGGATGCGGTGAGAGACTGTGGGGGAGCTGACTTCTTCACCTTCTTTCCAGGCTCATCCAGAATTGTAGGCATGTGTGTGGGTGTAGGGGTGAGTCTTGGGGAAGGAGACCCAGCAGATGTCTTTGCAGGAACACATCCATTCTGTAACTTCAGGGCTGGGAGGGAGCCATTCCTGGATACAGGCACACCAACCTCCTCAGGGGCCTGTGGCTTTTTCATCATCACAGAGTCTTGTCGCTAAAGAAGAGCAAGAAAGGAAGCCTTCAGAGTCCAAGAGAGCACTGCCCAAGGAATACAGCCAAACCAAAGCAGGCATCCCAATCAAGGGTAGCTTCTGGGAGCCAACTGGATTAGAACGGCTAATGGTAAATACTTCAGGACATGTATACAAAACAAGCCGCACTTTAGGACTGCCTTCCTATAAAAGCAACAAGGTTTCACCAAGATCTGAGAGAATACACAAGGAAAGAATGTAGCAAGGCTCCATCATGTAAACATTGTCTTCCACTGAGTGTCCTCTGTATCCATTTCATCATAGTGCCACAAGCTATAAGGCTCCTCACAGGATAGGCCCAGTCTTCAGTGTCTCACTAGCAGCCATGTATCTCTTCATGGCTTATACTATTCCCTATACCTTGACTAAAACAAGCAAACAAAACATTTGATAGTTTAGAAGTCATTTTAGAAGTCCAAGAGATCAATCTAAAATTCCTGGAGGTTTGGGGGGAGGGGGAGGGAAATGGGAGGCTGGGAGGAGGCGAAACTTTTTTTTCCCTATTCTCAATAAAAAAAAAAAAAGAATTTTGTATTTAAAAAAATAAATAAATAAAATAAAATTCCTGGAGGTCAATGGGAACTAGTTTTGGGGACTGGTGGGACGGCTCAGTGGTTAAGAGCACACTGGCTGTACTTCTAGAAGACCTGGGTTCAATTCCCAGCATATGCAGGTGGCTTCTGGATTCTGTGAGCACTGCATGTACATGGTGCACAGATATACTTGCAAGCAGAGTAAGCACCCACACACAGAAAATTAAAATACATCTTTAAAAAAGGGAGTCATTTTCTTCTGCTACCTCTTTTTTTTTTTTTTTTTTTTTTTTTNTTTTTTTTTTTTTTTGGTTTTTCGAGACAGGGTTTCTCTGTGGTTTTGGAGCCTGTCCTGGAACTAGCTCTTGGCACAGAGATCCGCCTGCCTCTGCCTCCCGAGTGCTGGGATTAAAGGCGTGCGCCACCACCGCCCGGCACTTCTGCTACCTCTTAAAGAACTGAGGCCCCCATTGCACCACGGCAGCCCTCCAGTGAAGTTTTCCTTCACCGCCCTTGGCCCCACCTCACTACAGTCAAGCAGGACAGAAGAGGGCACCAGATCTCACTGCAGATGGTTGTGAGCCATCATGTGGGTGCTGGAAATTGAACTCAGGGCCTCCGGATCTTAACCACTGAACCATCTCTCCAGCCCCTCAGTTTTTCTTTTTCTTCTTCTTTTTTTTAAAGATTTATTTATTTATTATGTATACAACATTCTGCCTCGATGTATGCCTGCACGCCAGAGGAGGGTGCCAGATCTCATTACAGATAGTTGTGAGCCACCATGTGGTTGCTGGGAATTGAACTCAGGACCTCTGGAAGAGCAGCCAGTGCTCTTAACCTCTGAGCCATCTCTCCAGCCCCCGCCCCTCAGTTTTTCAAGACAGGGTTTCTCTGTGTAACTGACCTGGCTGTCCTGGAACTCACTATCTAGAGGCTGGCCTCAAATTCAGATCCACCTGTCTCTGCCTCCTGAGTGCTGGGATTAAAGGTGTGAGCCAACATCACCTGGCAATTTTTATATTTATTTTATTTTGCATACAAAACTTTACATTTTACTTTAGCCAATAGCTATGTTTCTTATCAATTAAAAAGTTACAAAGCCGCCTTTCAGGTTTAATTACTTCTGTCTTCTGAGTTTTTGGCCTACATGTTATGATAACTTACTCATACAAAGGCTATTTCCTGACATCTCTCTCTGCAAAATCAAGTCATTTGTTGTATATTACATCTGCAAGTGACTTCAAGTGAAATGATACCAGGTGTGAGAGCTCGCATCTGTAATCGTTACATCCCAGCACCCAGCAGGCACAGGTGGAAGGAGCACTCCAAATTCAAGGCCAGCCTGGGACACAGAGGAAGACCTGGCCTCCTCCTCCAAAGGCGGCTTTACAAATGTGCAGTATAGGAGCGTGTGTGCTGAACTGGATCATGCAAGTAAAGCAGCCTTTTCCTCGTGGCTGTACCTGCCACTGCTTCTGCATGCCCAGGTTTGCCTCCTTCAACCAGGGACACCTCTGCAAGCGAGGCTGCCAGCTTCCCAAATGGCTGCAATGACTTCCAACTCTGCAGTTAAATCATGTAGATTAAAATTCAGAAGTCCACAGCTGACTAAGTTTTATTACTGTGTATATGTGGGTATATGTTTGTGTGTATATAGACATATCCATGCTTTTACTCTGAACCATTTGAATAAATGCAGACTTCGCATCCTTTTACCCACAGGTATGCCTGTATCTAGCATCAAAGAATTATAAAGAAACAAGGCCATGACTACAACCAGGATACCAGCATTAACAGAAAACAGCGGGTGTTTCCCTGGGAGTCTGTCTAGCGCTCTGGGCAGCAGCTGAGTCCTATAGTCCTATCTTTCCCTTCCCAGGGCAGCTGCTAACCACCTGAAGAAATAACATTGTTGGTACAGTGCCACAGCCTACAGCTTCCTCTCACCATGGCAAGGTCCCTGAGAGAAGACCCCTAGACTTCTGCAATGTTCAAAGCAGGAACCAGAAGAGCAGCCAGGCAAGTTCTTCCACTTACACAGTACCTTTGCCATCAGTGGGGAAGAAACGACCCCATTGCCAGGGCTCTTCTTGGGGTGATCTGGAATGATACTGGGACGACTGGGAAGAGTGGAGCCCACCCTGGAGACAGGGCCCTCAGGACTTTTCTTAGAGCCTGGAATTCTGCAGGGGGAAGAAAGGGATTGGGGTTTCCTTACTTGTGCCAAGAAAGCAATGCAAGGAGCAGCAGAGGCCCTAGTGTCTCAGCAGTCTTCTAGAACCCCCGCCGCGCCCTCTGCATTCTAAGGCTTGACAGAAGCCTCGGACAGAGCCCTTCTAGAGCAGATTCTCAGGAGCCAGAAAACCAAAGAGCCCCAAATCTGCCAGACGTGGCAGTGTGGCACCAAGTGACAAGAACACCTCAGGGATAGCCAGTCTCTGCTGGTGCCTTCTTAAGATCTGCTGCATGCCTATCCCCAGTGTGAAATGGGTCACTTCACTGGAGGAAGTTGCCCAGGCTACTGTCACACCAAGGCAAAGGCCTCATTAAGGTAACAGCATAAGTGACAATTACCTACCCACTGCTGTAGGCAGTCAGAACCCTCCCGCACTGTCATCCAGTTTTCACCCACCCACTAGCAGGGCTTGGTTGAAAGGTCCTTCCCAGGACACAAGCTCCCTACATGTGTCTAGAGATGGTCTGTTCAAGCATTCCCCCTCCAGCCAATCCCCAGGAGCTTACAGACAGGAAAGCGCTGCCGAGAACCCTGGCTCAAGCAGAACACGCTCTAGAGCAGGACAATCCAGGGAGGGTGGAGGCTACTCACCGCAGGTAGAAGAGCACGTAGGCCTGCTGGTTCAGAACCACCTTGACATTGCTGGAATGGACCAAGGAGTCATTCATCTGGTACCACTGTCCATTGCTAGCCTGAGCAGCAGTGGGAGGGGATGGTTATAGAAAACAGCAGTCAACAGATGGGCCACAAGCACACTTCTCTTCAAGTGTAAGGCAGAGCCGCACAGTGTTTTCAGTTGAGCTCAAACTCTCAACCTTCCAGAATACTGGAATTACAAAGGCATGGTTTACCATACCCACTAATGAACCTTAAAAAAACCTCCTAAAATTCACATTTATTTATTTATTGGGGGGGGCATGTGCACATGCCATGCAAGTGTGGATGGAAGTCAGAGGACAACTTGAAGGAGGTCAATCTGTTCTCCCGCTCTGGGGGTTCCTGGGATGGAACTCAGGCTTGGCAGTGAGCAATTTTCCTGCTGAGCCATTTTGCTGGCGGCAGGACCATGGTGTAAAACTCATTTTTTCTATACATTCACGAAATGGAGGAACAAAACACAGATGCAAAGGACTGCTGTTTCCCAGAAAAAAAAAAAAAAAAAAAAAACCAAAAAGTACAATGGCCTTGTTTAGATTTTATGGGCACTGGTCACTTGCCCCAGAGGGTGGCACAAGTTCACCTGCCCACAGCTGCGCTCAGGCGTCAACACTCACCTTCACATAGCAGTAGTAGTGCCCAGCGTGGCAGCTGTAGCCTGAGTGCACCAGGACAGCATAGAGCCCATACATGACAGGGTCACCACTGCTCTGCGACATGTATGGGCGGATGTTCAGGAACTCGGGATAGCCAACATCCTGGTTTAAAAAAAGAAAAGCTAAGTAACACGCAGCAGAATACGGGTTATTTATATCCATAGCCTCAGAAATGTTTGCTTTGACCAATCTTTACTGTGTGTCCGAGGAGAGACTCCAACTCCCTATGTCTGGCTGCCCGTGAACTCGCAGCCCTTCCATCTCCACATCCCAGGTGCTGGGGATGACAGGCAAGGGCTGCCAGACCCAGTTTTTTTCTATGTCTTTCTATGACAAAATTTCATAAGCCAATATGTAAACAATGGGCTCATAGCCCTGACCTAACTTTGTTATAATACAGTCTTCAGATTCAAACAAACTGAACTTCTCCGAACTACTGCCAAAAAGGGCTCACAGGAAACCTAAGTTCCTCAGGACACCGCCATGGCATTTTCCCCACCAACCATATCTGCACTACCCAGCTCAGGAGGTTACGTTTAGTTCTTTCCATTACATTTTATCTATGTGGGTATGTATGTATACATGTATACACACGCACACACACATACATATGGGTATATGTATATGGCATGGCAAGTTTCAGGAGTCAGTTCTCTCTTTATACCAAGCAGGTCCCAGGAATCAAGTCCAGGTCATCAGTCTTAGTGGTAGGTGCCTTTACACACTGAACCATCTCACCAACCCTAGACAATTCTTTATAATAAATCCTCTTAGAGATTCAAGACTTGATACAACTTCTATAGCTAGGCAATGTCACATGCCTTTAATACCAGCACTTTAAATACCAGAGGTAGGTGGATCTCTGAGTCTGAGGACAGCTACAGAGAAACCTTGTATTAAAAAAAGGAAAAAAAAAAAGGGTCTAGGGACTGGAGAGATGACTCGCAGTTAAGAGCACTGGCTGTTCTTAGAGGACCCAGGTTTAATTCCCTGCATCACAGGAGGCTCACAAATGTCTGTAACTACATTTCCAAGGGAATCTAACACCTCCTTCTGGCCTCTGAGGGCACCAAGCTTACAAGTGATATACAAGGAGGCAAAAACACTCATACACATAGAATAAACTAAAATAAAATTTAAGCCCGGCGGTGGTGGCACACGCCTTTAAACCCTGCACTCAGGAGGCAGGACAGGTGGATCTCTGTGAGTTTGAGAACAGAGCGGTCTACAAGAGCAAGTGCCAGGACAGGCTCTAAAGCTACAGAGAAACCCTGTCTCGAGAAACCAAAATAAATAAATAATTAAAAAATGTAAAAGACAGACAGGCAGATCCCTAGACCTGTTCTTCTCAAGAGCAACCTGGACATCAACGGGGTGTCTCACCTTGGTGATCTTCCCCCCACTGAAATTGGCAAAGCGCTTGAGGGACAGAGTTAGGACATTGGATGTTCTATGGATGGTGAAGCGCTTGCTGGCTGGAACCTTCTTCTTACACCTACAAGAGCAAATAGAAAAGCTATTGGTGTGCTCGGCAGGTGTCCTGCTGCCTTAGTAGCAGGAAGGCCTGTGCCAACAGGCATCTGAAGCTAAACCCACACACTCTAGACAATCACAAGTCCCAAAGCAAGAAGACCCCTCAACCAGGAGCCTAAATGAGAGGTGAGACTCTGTGAAACATGGGAAGCACACAGGGCCAGCATGGAGGCACAACACAGCCAGATGAGAAACGGGCAGAAAACTGAGATGAAAGACAATCTCATCCCAAGCCAGGGGAAGCAAATTTAAAGAGGGATAAAAGCAAAAAAAATCCTAAAAACCCCAATGTGGCCGGACATGGTGGCTCAGGACTTTAATCCCCAGCACTCAGGAAGCAGAGAAGTGGATCTCTGTGAATGAGGCTAGCCTGGTCTACAGAGAGTTCCAGGACAGCCAGAGCTACATGGTGAGACCTGGTCTCAAAACAAAAATGAAAGCCCAATGCAATGTTGCTAGCCTTCAATCCCAGTACTCAGGGGGTGGGGCAGGTGGATCTGTGAGTATGAAGTCAGTCAGGGCTACAGAGGGAGATCCTGCCCAAGTCAAAAACAAAACAAAATTCCAAACTACCCCCCAAACAAACCAGTGCTGTGACCAACTGAAAATTGGAGTGAAGGGACTTTGGGTGGTTGCAGCTTTAAAATGACCCCCGTGCCAGCTCCCCCAGGGTGTGCTCATGAGGACAACTGTTCGTGCTGAGACAGAGGATAACCCGACCCCTAAAAACAGAAGCTGCACACAGGTCTCATTGAAGATCAAGAGAGCAGGGTGGAGGGTTCTCCACTGCATCCACTGAGGGGGACTACGGATCAGACCCTTTGCCTCTCTGACGCAGTTTCCACGGTAGACACAGGGAAAACAGCGCACTATTCTTCAACACACTAATACATGTCACAAGGACAGGCGCTGGGTGAGCAGCAGTTATGGGTCTCAGGCTGCTGCTGGGCTGCATCCATAAGCCAGATGAAGGCCACTCAGGAAATGTGAGCAGTGGTCATCCCTGAGGAGGGTTAGGCAGCTATTTATAGTGTTCCGGACAGTCACTTTCTTATAAGCAGATGACACTTACTTAGCACACATATAGGCGTTCTCTCCACTCAGCACATCTGGTTTCACGAAAAGTTCCAGAGCACGCACAATATTTGCAGCTTGCTGAGGAGGACGAAAACAGAACAGAATGAGCAGCAAGAGAAAAAGCCTGACTCGCGAAGTCCCAGATTTAAGGTCTTTTCAGGCCGAGGCAGCAAGTGATAAAACCTGACTTGCATAAATATTGGCCTTGCTAACTCATCCCCACCCCCAGCAGATGAGCAAGGAGCGGACAGTGCCCTTCTCTAGAGGTGACAGGTGACAGCCATGTGAGATCATGAGTCAGGCACTTTCACTGTGACTGCAGCTGGGGTGGCTCAAAAACTCAAGGTCCCTGCAAAGGCAAGGATAGGCTGACAGCAAAGAGGCGTTCTCTCCTCAAGCCCCAGTGTGAGGCACTGCCACTATTGATGCCTCAGAACACAAAACTAAGTTTTACTTTTTATTCTTTAAGGAAGGAATTTACATAGACAAAGGCAAGACCCACCCCCCAAACAAAACAGTACTGTGACCAGAGAAAGCTGAAAAATGGAGCGAAGGAACTTTGGGTCACAAATGTTGGCTTATTCGTGCTATGTGCAGCAGAGGCAACCACCCTGCTGCAAACAGAGGACACAGGGGAGCCGAGTGCCCTTATTCCCATCTATTCTGACCCACACCTTTCTTGCTGTTGATCCCTCTGGCCTCCCTCTCACCCTCGTCACCCCCAGGAACACAGATCACTGCCAAGCATACCCGAATCTCCAGCGCTATGTCCAAGTAGGGATCGTATGTGTCTGAGACGCTCTTGCACACAGAGCATTTCACTGCAACAGAACACAGAGGCAGTGGGCAGCTGGGACCCACCAGAGCACCACCCAGAACCACAGGTCTACAACATTAAATTCAGCTCTCACGAAAGGAGACTGTCCCTTAACTGGAGACACAGATACAGATCATGCCAGGTTCTTTTATCAGGCCTTGCCTGCCTGGCTACTCCCACAGGCCAGTGGACAAGCCCTCTGCAGCAGAACACAGGCCTCACCCCAAGGACTGAGAGCGATGAAAGAACTCATCACGTCACACACTGCTTCTCCAACTCCCTCAGGGGACAGTCCCACGGTGGGCAAGGGTGGCCAGTCAGAAAGACAAGGCCTGGGACCTCCAGCTCACGCTCTTGCAGCTAGGGGTACACCCCACCTGTCTGGGAATGCTGAGGACTTCCTGGCTCAAAGTTCAGATCATCTGCTTACCTCGGGACCTGAGATACCCTCCAAAGATCTGATGCACCAGGGTAGTAGCCTGCGTCTGCCGATCCAACCTAAAAGGAAGCCACAACCATGACAAAGACAGCACAGCACAGCCAGGCATGCTATTCACAGCCAGCATCCCACCCTCGTCAGCACCGGCTGACAGATGACGCCCTACTCCACTCCAGCCCCCAGCAGCATTCCTAAACTCTTCATCAGACCTCTGTCTCCTTGGGCCCCCACCCCACAACAGCACCTTCAATTTTCACAACCACTTGACCACTCCACAGAACACCCCGGTGTTGCAGGAGGTCCTTCCGCCCCTCCAACCAATAGCTGCTGTGATACCAGCCCATTGGGGCGTGGTCTCTCTCCCTTTAAAAAAGCAGCTATTTCCTCTGCTCGCTCTCTTCACTTCCTGCTCTACCGACTGAGCTAGCTGGGCCTGGCACACAGGTTATACCATGAAAGACCTAATTAACGTCGCCCCCATTCAGCAGGAAGCAGTTTGGAGAGAAAAAACTGCGCCCATGTTCCCAAATATGGTTTATAAATGTTCTTTTACATTTAAAGGGGGAGATGATATAGGTATGAATAATTTACATTGATATGGATTTTGCTTTAGTGATTTAAATTTAAGGTTAATTTTGTAATGTATATAGGTTGTTAATGAATAATCATTAATAATAGTTAAGTTTGTAGTTATGTTAGTTAAGATTTTCTAGATATGCATAGATATATTTTAGATAGGCATTCTTCATATTTTTCAAAGATTATAGAATATGGCATTTTAAATGTTTTAATAACTTAGGACTTTTTATGACAATGAGACACTCTGCTCCTGGCAGCACAAATCTACTTCAAGAGGAAGATGGGCATCGAAGAGGATCCTTATGGAGTTTGATAGCCATTTGGGCAAGAAACTGCTCTTGCCTGGACTATTGCATAAACTGGACACAGAGAACCCGCAGAGAGAGGACTGCTGAACTTGCCTAAAGGTGAGATGATCTTTCGGGGTTCCTGATTCATGAGAGAGCCTGCAAGACATTCTTCAGGACAAGCAGATAGTGACTGCCTTTGAAATTTCCTGCTTTGTGGAAATGTCTGCTGGAAACTATGGGCCTGTAGGCCGAAGGTGGATGCCCCAACGGTACAGAGGAACTTTGGGTGACTGTCCAGGCAGCGAGATGTCTCTGTCATTTCTAGAGTTTGAGAGTTTGCTTATTTCTTATTTGCTTAGGTAATATTGTATCTTTCTGGACTGTTTGATGGAGTTAAGAATAGTTAGCTATAGTTATAGTTTTCCTTAGTTATGATATATATTATTGTAATTTTTACTTGATAACTGTTTTGTTATATGTAATTTTGCTATGTAAAGTTAAAGCCTTCTTTTTTTTTGTTTAAACAGAAAAAGGGGAAGTGATGTGGGAGTGTCATATCAATCTGTTGATTTCATTGGCTGAGCAATAAAGAAACTGCTGGCCCTGATAGGTTAAAAGATAGGTGGGCGGAATAAACAGAATAGAATTCTGGGCGGAAGAGGAAGTGAGGTCAGACTCTGCTCTGCTCCCGGAGACTCAACAGCTCTGCTCTCTGGAGCAGAGACACCATGATGGACGGAGGCTAGAATCTTCCCGGTAAGCGCACCTTGGGGTGCTTACACACATCATTAGAAATGGGCTAGTCCAGGTGCGAGAATTAGCCTGTAAGGGTTAGAGTTCATGGGCCAAGCAGTTCTTAAATGAATACAGTTTGTGTGTTGTTATTTCGGGCATGAGCTAGCCAAGCGGCCGGGGTGTTGGGGACGCAGCCCCGCCGCTTCCTATTTCAACACCCCAGCATCTTCATCCAATAGTATCCCTGCTTTCCACTCTCTATAGAAGGACCCAAGCCTTGACTGGGAGGCAGGTCCAGTCCTAGGACCCATGGCATTGGCCCTTGCCATGTCTTCCACTGGGCTGTGGAGGCTAAAGCTGCAGGTTCAGTAATATTTCTTGACTGGCTGTGAACAGAGGAGGGCCACCATGCCCTTCCTTTTTCCTGATACCTGGGCAGCGCTAAACCACACTGACTGGCCAGGCACAGTTCCTCTACCTCAGTACTCTACTTGGCTGGCCTGCCACAGCCACCCTCCCACACTAGGGGTAGGCCTGGAGTATTCTCCAGAAGACGACACCAATAGGAGAGTGTGGCCAGCTCTCAGCTGCTCGCTGACTCCCCCAGGTTCTATTCTCGGCCAGAGGTTACATCCTCAGCCACTACCACTGAGTGGGCACGAAGTGTGGAGATCTCCCAAGGCCATCTCCTGTGGCCGACAGCACCTGGCCAGAGTCCATGCTGCACAGTTCACTGCCCTCTGAATGGATGATGTACAAGGCTTTCCTGTGAACTTTTAAACACTTATCACCAAAACTTTTGGAAAACAATTTTTTTTTTGTGCAATGATAGGCAATGAAAAAATATAAACTACAACTATTAATCAAAAAAAAGGGATAATCAACTGCCCATATTAGTAGGTCCACAGCCCTTCAGTCGGAAGCAGCTACTGCTCAGGGGCTGGAGAAGAGAGTCAAATGCAGCTCCACCCTGGCCCAGGACAGGGGCTGTGAGAACTGAAGGACGTGGAGGCAGCAGGCTCCAAAACCACTTGAAGAAGGCCAAGCGACAGACAGCATCTTGACACTGGAGGGCAGGGACATATACGCCACTCCAAAAAAAAAAAAAAAAATCAATGCAAGAAGGTGCACTGCACACTGCCCAGTGCAGGCCAAAGACAGATGGGCTCTGGAGTAAAGAATCATAGGCAACTTCAATCTATACATAGGCGTTCTGCAGGCAACTCTGTCTGTCAGTAAAAACCATCCCCAGGCCAAAGGAGAAAAGTGACAACAGGGTCTAAAGGGACCAAAACAGCCTGAGACACTCAAGAGACAGAAGAAACATCCTAAAGAGAAGACTTTAAATAAACAAACACACGCTAAAAACAAAATAAGATAGAACATAGATCTCATTTGGGGTTGGAGAAAAGGCTCAGTGGTTAAGAAAGATTAGCTACTCTTGCAGAGGACCCTGGCTCAGTTCCCAGCACCCATGCCATGTGGCTCACGACTGCCTGTAACTCCAGCTCCAGAGGATCTGACATACTCCTCTGGCCTCCATGGGAACCCACACATGATACTCACTCACAGAGATATACATCCACAGACACACTCATAAAATGATAAAAATAAATTAAAAATAAAAGGTGGAACTGCACACCCCAATTCCAGTACTTGGGTGGCAGAGGCAAAAGGATCAAGAGTTCAAGGGTTACTCACCACCCAGTCTCAAAGGAAAAAAAAGAACTGGGCGGTGGTGGCGCACACCTTTAATCCTATCACTTGGGAGGCAGAGGCAGGCAGATTTCTGAGTTCAAGGCCAACCTAGTCTACAAAAATGAAAACCAAACTCCAAATCAAATTAAAAAAAAAAAAAGAAAGAAAGAAAACAAACAATAAAGGAACAGCCTTTCTGAGTGGAGACTGCAGAGAGAACCTGTCCAAGTGAAAGTGGACCTGGGCCTAAAGACAGAAAACCACCAGAGACCAGACTGTGTGGTAAATGTCACAGAACGAACTACAGACCCTCCAAAGCTAAGTCAGCAACACAGAACTGCAGCACAGGAGACCACAGCAAACAACGTCACAGGTGAGAGCCACTTCTGTAGCACAGATCACCTTCCACAGATATTCCAGAAAGATGCAGTTACAAAGCCGGGTCTTAGGCTAATGCCACCTTCTATGAATGAGAAACTGGGCAGCCATGGAGTACCTGCTGCACAGAGTAACCAGCTGTGTTCCACGCTCTCACACGTGGAAAACAGTGAAGTGAGGCGCTACACTTCTGGACTCCTGCTCTGGGAAATGAGGCAGCAGGACCAAGAGCGTGAGGCCAGTTTAGGCGACACAGTTAGACCCTGACTAAAACACTGAAAAAAAAGAGAAAACAATCTAGCATCAAACAGAATAAGATCTTTAAGAATTATAACTTTTCAGCTGGGTGGTGGTGCACAGCTTTAAACCTAGCACTCAGGAGGCAGAGGCAGATTGATCTCTGTGAGTTCAAGGCCAGCCTGGTCTACAGAGTGAGTTCTAGGACAGGCTCCAAAGCTACACAGAGAAAATTTGTCTCAACCCCCTCCCCGCCCCCCCCAAAAGAATTATAGCTTTCCACATGCTATGTTTTCCTCCATGTTTTTGCATTTTCATGGAAGTGAGTCCCCCATTCCTTCCCCACGTGTGAAGCCCCTGCTTCCTTCTCTAAGTGTGAGTTCCCTCATTTCTAAGTGTGATCTCCCTACCTTCTTTCTCTAAGTGTGAGCCCCCACTTCCTTCTCTATTTCAAAGTAAAGACGTAGTTTTAGAGAGGCTGAACAAGTTCATGGCTACAGGTCAACTTTTGAAGCTTTTTTTTTTTTTTTTTTTTTTGAGACAGGGTTTCTCTGTGAAACAGTCCTGGCTATCCTGGAGCCCACTTTGTAGACCAGGCTGGATTTGAACTCATTGAGATCTGCCTGCCTCTGCCTCCCAAGTGCTGGAATTAAAGGCGTATGCCACCACCGCCCAGCTTCAAGAAATTTTCTAGAGCAGCTCCCTCCAACAGAGCTTAATGGCCCAGGCTGCAGAGCACCAGGTAGTCAGACCTGGGCAACAACACAAACACCTCAGAGGATGGCTAGAGGGAGGTTGGCTGTGTTCACAAGGATGCTGCGCTGCCCCCAAAATAAAGAAGGTGTCCTCAGCCAAGTAGCACGTGTAGGGAAGTGAGACACATACTTAGCATAGCCGTTCAAGCAGGCCTTCTGCATGGCATCGATGGTGTACCGCAGGAATTCGTGTGCGTCCTCTTGGTTCCCGAAGCGGAAGTGCCGGGCGATCTCTGGAGGAAGAAGAGAAAGATGCAAAAGGATCTTGAGTGTTGGAGGCCACTACTTTCACAGAACCCAGCATCATGTCAGAGTGCCATGTGACTAGAAGACAGGGTCTCGACAGCGCACATCAGTGCACATCTCCCTCACCCCACCCCTCTCCCAGCTTTCATGCTCACCTGTGTCTTAATTTCAGACACAGCCCTCCCACCTGGCTAAAAGCCTAACTATTCTTCCAAGCAGTGCCCAGAGAAAGCCTTCCTTCAGTGAAACACTGAGCACACGTATGCATACTAACTACCATGCTGGGGTCTGCACCATTATGTGGGACCTTCCATACATAAGGATTCCTGAGACTTCATCCATGGTTTTTCTCCTCCTTCCTCCAACCACAGAGCCAGTACTTGGCAGACAGATACTCAACCAAAATCCTTTCTTACTTTTCAGGTCTCTGATGAAGGAAACGGGCTTGATGGCATTGCCGCTGTTGGCAAAGGCCTGGACCATGTGGTTCTGCATGACACACAGCATGCAGAAGCTTCCTTGGTGACCTACAGTGGGCAAGAAGCAACTTTAGGGTAAGTAATTTCCAGACAACCCATAATGACATCCTCACTTCACGTGCAGGGTGAACGCAACACAGGCTACGTATGACAGCCTAGAAGTTCAACAGAAGCTACTGACCAGCAAGCCTGATGCTTATATAAATGGACTAGTTTCTCATTAAACACTGCACTAGAACAGGATACACTCCTGCCTTGAAACTGACTTTTAAAATAGATGTAGAAAGAACATGACCCCACCCTGCTTCAACGGTCTTGGGGGGCTATAAGTGAAACGCTGATTATCATAGTCCAACTCCCCACAATCCTTCCCCCACAGGTACCTTGACCCAATACAGTTCCTGCTCACTGTAACACACGAATGGTACCATCACGGCCACAAGTCAACAGGCTCACGGAGGTGTGCCGGCTATGCCATACACCTGCAATTTGCTTTCCTGACATCCATGCTGCCCACCCAGCTCTTTCCCCTGGTTCTACAGCTGGAACATTCCACAAATGGACAGACAGATCTACTTATGGTATCCACCCCAACAAACTCCACTTTTTCACATCTACCACCACTGCAATGAATGGACCTGCCATTTTTCTCCTTATGCACTAAGGAATACACCTAGAAGAGAAATTTCTGTAACAAAAGAAGCTGTCAGCTTTGTGAAGACTGAGGTCACTTACACCTCTGAACCTTGGCTGCCTGCCACAGGCTAGCTGCCTGCTGTGCTGGCAGGTACACCTTCAATTCTATGAGACAAACCCTGAACATGATGCTTCAGGCCAATCTTGTCACACGAAATCCAACCCAAACCAATTAGTGCTACTCTCAGTAGCTGAGACCAGTGTACTGACCCCTCACCAGCAGCACTGGCTGCTCCTGGATAGGTAGTTGCTGCTCACAGTCAGGTGACCCACACAGAGGATACAGACCACAGCTGTGGTACTCCATGCCTGCCGAACCACACTGCAGCTAACCAGGCAACCAGGATTCACTTATATCACCGCTTAACTGAATCAACCCACAAAGCTGAAAAATGGTTCAAAAGACCCCTGTGGAGCGACCGAAAAATGGAGGACTCTAAAGGGAAAGAGCGGACAAGAAAAGAACAGAAGAAAGCACTTATATAAGGCTCGGTAGGAGGATCTGACTGCCAAGGCCGTGAGGTCAAGACGACAGTCTGAACACTCCCAGCCCTTCCTCTCCGAGCTGTGAGTATTTCTGGCAGCAGCGGAGATTAAACCCTGACCCTGTACAGCATGAACAAGGGTGCTACCCCAGACACACTCACTCCTTTAAGTAACAGAAGGCTCTTGAGCTCATCGCGCAGCTCAACGTTACGTTAACGCCACTCCTCCTATCCCATCCATCTGCCTCTGGATCCAGCCTGATCTGACTCCTAACTTTAGCCACCACCCTCCCACCTGTGACTTTTTATTTTCTCTCTTCCTAAGTGAAAACAGGGATTCTCTGTGTAGCCCTGGCTATCCTGGAACTTGCTCATGCGCCACCACTGTCTGGCCATTGTTTTCTTTAAAGTCTCATTATCTATGAGCTGGGGACAGGCTTAGTAGGGAGAGTGCTTCCTTTGAAAGCAAGAGGACATGATTTCAAAGCTCCAACACTCATGCTGGGCATGGCCACCTAGGCCTGAAATCCCAGCCTTGCAGAAGGGCACTGAGACAGGCAGACTGATCCTGGGAGTTTGCTAACCCATCCTAGCCCAGTGAGATCCTGGTTTAGTGAGCAATCCTCCTCAAAAAAACAAGGTAGAAAGTGATGAACATTCAATGTACTTCTGTTCCTCTGCATCTGCTTGCGCATGTGAACTGACAAACACACACACCCCTTATGTGTTTTCTGTGACTTTCCTGCCCACTGGACATTATGTTACTAAGATTTGTTCAGAAGATAAAATATACTTATGTACACTGTTTTTTAAAAAGATTTGTTTTTTATTTTATGTTTAATGAGCATTTGGCCCATGTGTATGTCTGTATATCGTCTGTATGCCTGCTACCTTTGGATGACAGAAGAGGGTGTCAGGTAACTGGAGTTACAAATGGTTGTGAGCCACCATGTAGGTGCAGGGGATTGAACCCAGGTCCTCTGCAAGAGCCACTGAGTCACTTTATATGAGACTAATTCACTCCAGCTAAGGTTGGGTTCTTGGAGTTGGTTTTGGATACAAAAGTTTTTCTTTCAAAAAAAAATACATACACGTATGTGGGTTTAGTGACTTATGCAGAAACACTTTTTTTTCCATTTATTTTATTTTATTTTATTTTATTTTATTTTATTTTATGTGTATTGGTGTTTTGCCTGTATGTATGTCTGTGTGAGGGTGTCAGATCCTGGAGTTACTGATAGTTGTGAGCTGCCATGTGGGTGCTGAGACTTGAACCCAGGTCCCCTGTGCTCTTAACCGCTAAGCTGTATCTCTCCAGCCCCCTTTCTTTCTTTTCTTTTCTGAGACAGAACTTCACTATGTAGCCCGGGCTGGCCTGGAACTCTGTGTAGACCAGGTTGCCCTTGCCTCTGCCTATCAAGAGCTGAAATTAAAGGCATGAGCCGCTGTGTCTGACTAGAATACTGTTTTTAGAGCACTTTCCTTTTCTTTTCTTTTCTTTTCTTTTTTTTTTTTTTTTTTTTTTTTTTTTTTTGAGACAGGGTTTCTCTGTGGCTTTGGAGCCTGTCCTGGAACTAGCTCGGTAGACCAGGCTGGTCTCCAACTCACAGAGATCCGCCTGCCTCTGCCTCCTGAGTGCTGGGATTAAAGGCGTGCGCTTTCCTTTTCTAGCAGTCTTACAGAGTGGCAATGTGGTCACCCACGTTTGACTGTACCTTACAGTACATACTTACAAGGTCACTACCTAGGATAATGCTCAGCCGCCTTCTGTGAACTATCAGAAGGGAAAGGCCCTTCTACTACTCTAAGAGGGTTTGTTATCACCGTCAAGTTTTCCAGGCAAGCATCCTCTCTCACTCCACTAATATAGCGACTACCTGACCACCTAGACACCCACAGCACACCCTCTGTGCCAAGTGATATAAGACCAAGCCTTTGATAGAATTCATTTCATCCTTACAATTCTGTATGAAAGCCAGTATTCTTCTGTAAAGCAGGGACAGGGGGCAGAAGAAAGCCAAAGAACATTCTAAAGATCCAACTAAGTTTAGCGGCAGAACTGGGGCACAGATAGGCAGAGGCTCTCGCAGCATGCTGAGCATCTGTGGGAGGCTTTCCTACAGGATGCCTGTACTCTCAGGAGGAACCCCAGTTCTCCAGATGATTTCAAGCTGCCCAAGATGCTTTCGTATTAGCTAACACGTTTAGAGTGTTCATCAGTAAGGCAGGACAGGTTTTGCTTCTCCAGGTTTAAGAACCCCTCAGCATAAGCTAGTGTTCACTAGAAGGGCTACTGAAGGAGTAACATGAGCTAGCTCTGGTAAATCTCACCACTCCAGCTTCTTCACCCGATTTTAATTTCTACTTTGGGGCATGTTTGGTTCCCAAAATTGGTTTAGCATACACACAAGATAGTTGAACAGACGCTGTGAGGAGGCATCTTTCAAAAACCCTTCTCTCTAAAGAGCATGACCCTGCCTGAGTGAGACCCACACATGGCCTATACAATAGCAGACGAAATTCCCCTCACTGTGTCAACCACCATGTCCCATTAGCTTCACTCTAACTGTCAGACAGACAGAACGACAGCCCCTCATACACAGGGGTCTAGCTAGCTGGTGTTAAAGTGAGGGACTGCCTGGTTCAGGTGACTCACACCGAAGCCCACTGTAAGCCCCACTCACAGCTCCGTGCGTGCTCTTTGGAGAGCAGGTAGTTGGCCAGAGGCGGCGTGTAGGTCAAGCACTGAATGGTGGAGTTCAGGAAGCAGGTGTTACCCAGGTTGTGCAGCCCTGCGCCAACGCGGAAAACGCGCTCCCACCTCAGCGACAGTCTCTCCATAGGGAAGAGCACTTTCTGTGGGGCAGGGACTCCGTCGCCTCCACTTCCAGACACACGCTCGGTGCCTAGAAGAGAAAAAGATGAGACCAGGTCATCCCAGGGACCTTCCAAGCTCAGTTCAGAGCTCAAGGCCCCTGTGATGAGAAGAAGCAGTGGGTCCCAGCTCTGCGCCATACTGTGCGCCAAGGAACCCACCCGACATCTGTATTTTCATCCCCCACGTTCTCTCCCCCCTGAAACTGTGTGTAGGTATACATGAGAGTAAGATGGCGTGTGTGTCGGGGTCAGAGGACAACTTTTAGGATTCGACTCTCCACCTTCCCCCACACTGAGGCAGAGTGTCTCCAATTGTTTCTCCCTCACACGCACACTCCAAGTGAGCTGTCCATGAGCTTCCTGCTGATCCTCAGGTCTCCTCCCCTCTCTCTGCAGGGGTGCTGGGGTGACAGGCATACCAGAGCACTCAATCCAGCCATTTCTGTGGGCTTGAGCTGCAGACTCACACAGCTAACGCTTTCATTGGCTGAGCCATTCCTTAGCCCCTTGGACCTGCTTTCTGACCTCACTAAAGAAGGAGGTCACATTCAAGGAATGGGTAAGTACACAGATATCCTTCCCGGTCACCCTGTATCATGACAGCTATTATGACAGACCACTGACTCCTGGAAGCCCAAAACTACTCCAGCTGCCAACTCAGGGCTACTCACTTGGGCCAAAACACAGCCCCCAGTACCTTGTTTCCTGGGCTGTAGCTCATCTCCACTCTTGTGGCGACTCGCTCCGTCGGCCCTGGAGTTCAGCAGCACATACTTGCTCTTCAAGGACTCTAGCTGGTAGGAGAAGCTCTTGGTGGCAGGTTCAAACTCAATCCTCTGCAAAAGGACCTTCTTGGCAGAGGCGGCCAGCAGCTTGCCCAGGTCCCCATCCTCTGCTGAGTCCTTGCGGCCAGGCTTAAGAGCCTCCTTCAGCTTATCTACTATTGGCATGGTGCATTCCTGTGGGGTGGAAAGAACCCCAGACCCATAAACAGCTACATCCCAGAGCAAGTACACGACTTCTGCCTGCTCCTTCTACTCAGCAGCCATCAGGACAGCTACAGGCACAGGGGCAGCTAAAGGCAGAGCAAGCAGCGCTGCATATGACCACTGGCATTATTTCCTGAAACTATTTAAAAACCAGTGGACGGCATATTCTCACACGCTCTGGTTTCAGGCAGCAAATGTGAAAAACGAATTGGAGGGGGGTTGTAGAGATGACTTAGTGCATGCACCGCTCTTGAAGAGGACCAAGTGCAGTTCCCAGCACTCAGGCCAAGCAGCTCACAACCACGTATAGCCAGATCCAGGGCGTCCAATACCCTCTTCTAGAATTCACAAGCACTTGCATTCACATGTACACCAACAACTATGTATAATTAAGAATAAATATTAAAAAAAGAAATGTTGGCTGGGAATAGTCCACAAACCTTTAATCCCAGAACTTGGAAGGCAAATCCTTGTGGATCTCAGTGAATTGGAGATCAGCCTGCTTTACACAGAGTTCCAGGCCAGCCAGGGTTACACAGTGAGAGTGTGTCTGTCTGTCTCTCTCAAGATTTATTTTATTTTACATATATGGGTATCTTGCCTGCCTACACAAATAAGTGCAACACATGCATGCCTGGTACAACAGATCCCCTGGAACTGGAGTTACAGTTATGAACTGTCATGTTGGTGGTGGGAATTGAACCCAGTTCTCTCTAGAAGAACAGCCAAAGCTCCTAACCAGAGACATCTCCAGCCCCAGAGAACCTCTCAAAACAAAAACCAAGCATATGTGCACACTCACACAAGAATCAACATAAGACAGATGGCCAGACTTTTCTGCACAGGCCTCTCTGTGCTCTTCTACAGAGGTCAGGGGCCACATTCGATACCAAGCATGTGGACAGCCTGGTCCAGGCCGAGAGCTATGGGAGTCACCATCAGGTTTCCATGGTTTACTTTAAGAAAACGACACATGGCATCTCCATCTCTCACCTGGTACATGTTGAAATGTCATTATCTTACATAGCCTGATTCAAATAAAATATATTACAAAAATCAATTTTACCTTTCTTATTTTTCTCATGTAGCTGCTGTGAACTTTGACCTTGCATTTAGCCATTCTATTTCCATGGTGCAGCATACATACAGATCTGCTCTCTCAGCTGGGCATGCTGCTCAGTGCTGCCTTACTCCCAGCACTTGGGAGGTTGAAGCAGAAGGACTACTGTGACTTCTAGCCCGGCATGGGCTACAGACTATGACCATGTCTCAACCAGATGAGACAGACAGGCAGGCAGGCAGGCAGGCAGGCAGGCAGGCAGACAGACAGACAGACAGACAGACAGACACACACACACACACACACACACACACACACACACTCTATCTGTTGCCGACTGAAGAGCTTGAGAAGTAAAGCTAAGTGGGCAACAGGGACCCAGGCTCCACAAGGGCAGACCTGTGTATTTTATCTCCACGTGGGCCCAGGCTCAGATGGTTAACTGGGAGGTGGCTACAAGGATTAGCCAGGAAGCCTGCTGCACAGCGGCTCCTAACAGGCACAGGCACAGTCAGCCAGGACAACAGCAGACACGGCAACAAAGATGAGCCCCGTCATCATCAGACTGTCGCCCGCACCCCATCCTGCCCGCCATTAGCTACTCGAGCCACACTTACAAACATACAGACCTGGAACTGCTCATTCACATCAGACACATGACACCCACTACCCGACTATCCAGGAGTCAGCTACACGGGTAGACCCCAAAACAAATAACAAAAACAAAGCAAGCACCAGTCCTAAAGCCTTCTGTGGTGGGGACTCACAAAGACCTTCACCCACAGGCCAGCCACTGCCAGGTTCGGGTCACTGGAAGAAATAAAGACGAGGCAGCGTCCAGGGCTTACCTGGGGTGTCTGTGCCGGCTGCTGCTTTTCTCTGCAGCAGGGAATCAGGCTCTCAAGGGAGGGACGGAGCTGACCCAGCAGGTGCCTTCCTGGACTTCAGCCTGCTCAGTCACCAACACTGCCAAGTGTAGAGTCCAGAATGGGTGCCAGCACCTGGAGGATGAGCAGCGAGACTGTCACCCATGACTGGCTTCTCCCGCGGGCCCCGTAAACCGCTTTCTTGTGTGAACTATGTATGACCTTCTACCAGGAAAGCGGCATCACTAAGGTGAAAGGAAGCCAGGCACAGAGATGCATGTCCATAACCCCAACATTCAAGAAACAGAAGCAAGGGGATCAAACATTTAAGGCTAGCCTGGGCTACGGAGCAAGACTTAAGAAGCTCTGAATTCAGAGTCCAAGGACAACTGTACTAGCACACCACTAAATCCACAACCTGGCTGCCCTGTCCTCCACTCTACATCACCATCGTCACGCTTCTCAAACCTACGGGGCAACTCCAGTCCGAAGATCATGTCCACAGACGACGAGACAATAGGAATGATGGATGAAAACCTCAAACTTTTTTGATTTCATTAGCCAGGTATTTTCTTTTTAAGAAAATAGTCATGAAATTTTACTTTAACTATAAACCTTTTCTTCCATTTCCACACAGTCAACTTGATCATATAAAGGCATTTTCCATCTGTTCAAACACACGCAAATCCAAAGGACAGCACAGTCAGCACAATGCACCACGGATGGGCTTGATGACTGCTCAGTCTTGGTTCCCCTCCCCATGCCAGGTTCTCATGCAGCATGCCTCAGAATGTCCCTTCCATCTAGCCAATACCCCCACAGAACGTCCTCAAGCTGCAGAAGGAGGACAGCCTGACTTCTGAAAGTTCCGTTGACATCACTTCCAAAATCCGACCTTCCCACGGGGAGGTGAGACCTTTGTCCTGGCCTACTGTGGTCCAAGGATGACCAAATGGGAACGTTAAAAAAGTCATTTGCCAGAAGCACCTTCTGGTTCACTTGGTCAGGATAATGTGAAGAAATGGCAGAAAGCTGCGTGATATAGGAACCAAGAAAAATGCTCTGGTGATTCCCTGCAAGCCCTCCGCCGTGCACGCGCAGCAAGTGTGGCTGAGGCTGAGGGATGCGCTCACCTACCCAGATCTCTTAAGGGCTAGGCTACGCTGTGCCCTCAATATGCATACCCAGTTCTGAGCTCAAGCCTGGCCCCTCCATTCAGACAGGCAGCATTTAAACAGAGCCTCTCTCTCTTTAAAACGTTTTCCAAGAAAACCTCCCTTAAGACTTATGGGGTCAATTACATGCTGGAGGAGAAGGGAGACAGGGCTGGGGCCGCCCCGGTTCCCCACCGCAGAGCATGCCGAGCCAGGCACAGGTGAACTACATGTCTCTTGGGCATCCACTTCTAAGCCAGACTATGCAGATGCCGGGGTATGTCTGTTTTAAGATTCTATTCCACCATCTCCATCCCTGAGGGATGCGCCAGACGCAGGCAGGCACGCGCGCGCACACACACACTCACAAGCAGCAAGGAGCATTTGGGTTCGAACGCGGTCCTGCCATTACAACAATTCGGTACGGATCCCGCGCTACAGAGCTGTCACCGCCCTAGGCTACAAGCTCGGCTTTGGCTCTGCCTGGCTACCCTGAGGTCTGCAGCCCCGGGAAGATTCTGAGGAACCACCCGCACCGAGAGCGCAACCTCGGGGTCACCCAGAACCATACGACCCCAAGTTCCGGAAGAACCCCGGGATGCAGAGCGACTGATGCAATTCCCTGGCCACTCCGGGGTTCGCAGGCGCCCCTCGCCATCACCGGTCCCGTCCTCCCTCCTTCCTCCACGCTCCTCACGCGCCATCCCTCCTCAGTGTTCCCTACGCCGCTCGCATCCCCCGTCCTCCTCCCCGCGGCCCCGGACACCGTCGCCGGCCACGCACCTGTCAGCCTTCGCCGGAGTCCCCAAGACCCGCGGGTACGGCGCGCACCTCCCGCCCGCCCTCGTCCCTAGCCGCGCGGACGCACCTGCTCTCCGCCGGGCTCAACCTCCGCCTCACAGGCCTCTCAGGGGCCCGCGGAAGGCCGGCGCAGCGAGAGCGTCCGCTCCGGGCCAGGCCCGCACGCACACCATCCGGGCCTCCAGAGCCTCACACACGTGTCACCACGGCCTTTAAAGGAGCCGCACCGCGGGCGCGCTCTGAGGCCGCGTGGAGAGGTCCCGCTAGCTTTAAGAGGCGGGGCTAACGCCGAACACTCTTCTCTTCGACCCGCCCACCTCTCTCGTCACGACTCATACGTCACCCCTCCGTCCCGCAGCCCAGCCAGTCTACGTGATGACTCAAGCGCGTACAGCTCAAAGTTCCGGAAGCGCCCGGCAGCCTAGAGGCTCTGCCGCGGCCTGGCATGGTTCCCGCGGAGTAGGTGCGGTGGCGTCACTTCCGGCTGCGTGCCCGACACCGCGAGTGCGCAGGCCCAGTGGGCTGGACCGGGGAAAGGGCGGAAGCTGGATGCCGGCTCCGCTGCGTGCTGAGGGCTCTGCGGAGTGGCGCTGGCGACCGAGTCTTTGACGATTTCACCATTGCTTGGTGTCCTTGTGAAAAAGCTAGCAAGGGCTTGGGATGAGGCCGCAAGGTTTCACTCGTCACTGCAAGAACCAGGCGTGGTGGCACGAAAATTCAGTTTAACTGCAGTTCCGAGGCGGGGGTGATGAGGACTTAGACGTCGCCCCGGGGATACAGGATGAATATCTCCCTGTAGATAAATAATAAACCAGAATTAGTCCATCCTTTTTTAAGTGGCCGAGATTGGAGGATCATGGAGAATGTGTTATCCTGGACCACATAGGAGAACCTTGTCACTAAGAAAAAAAAAATCCTGCCAGGCGGTGGTGGCGCACGCCTTTAATCCCAGCAGAGGCAGGGGAAATCTCTGTGAGTTCTCGAGGCCAGCCTGGTCTATAGAGCGAGTTCCAGGACAGGCTCCAAAAATACACAGAGAAACCCTGTTTCGAAAAACAAACAAAAAAGTCCTATTAGCCTATGCCTAGTTATAAAAATGCCCCCTTTAAGAGCTAGAGAGATGGATCAGAGGTTAAGAGGGCTTGTTCTTGCTCAGGATTTCCCAGCGCCCACACAGAGGTTCACAACCTCCGCAGGATCTTTTGACCTCTAAGGTAAAGAAAAAAGTTCTCTTAATTTTTTTCCGAGACAGTGTTTCTTTGTGTAACCACCCTGACTGTCCTGAAACATTGTATCCCAGGGTGATATCCGTCTGCCTCTGCCTCCCAAGTGCTGGGATTAAAGGTGTTTGTCACCACTGGTTTCTTAAATTTTTGAAGCTTTATTTTTATTATTTTAAATTATGTCTATTTCTATGTGAGTGTAGTTGCCCGTGGAGGTCGGAGGTCCCATCCCCTTTTAGCACTGGAATTACAGGCAGCTCTTAGGTTGTGAGCTGCCTATTGTGAGTGCTGGGGACCACACTCTGGGACTCTAAGAAAAGTATGGGCTGTTAACTGCTGAGCATTCGCTCCAGCCCCAGAATCCTCCCTTTCTTTAGACTGATTTCTTTTGTCCTCTGACCACGCTTTGTCCCCTGGCTGGAGGTTACTCTAAACCCACTGTTCTAGGCTGGATACAATAAATCGCTACTTTTGCTGTCCCAAGCCTGTTACTAGCCCTGGGTGTACCATCACTGCTTCCCTGTGCTTCCTGTGTGGGAGCTGGCACCTGGCATGAGATCTAGGTTTTTATCCTTTCTTTGCCCTAATTACCCTATTACTTCAGATATTTCTCTTACTCGAGGCTTGATTTCCCATCTGTGTTGGGGAGGATGTGGGGGGAAACAATACCTAGTTCTGCAACCCAGTTCCTCTTGGTGGTGACTGTCGATTGTAAATTATTTTTATTGATACTTCATAACAGTAATTTTGCTACTGTTGTAAATATCTGATATGTGGGATACCTAATATGCAACCCCTGTGAAAGGGTCGTTCGACCCCCCCCCCACATGACCCACAGGTTGAGGACCACTGACCTAGAGGCAGAGTCAACAGCTCAGTTGACAGGTAGTGAATTCAATCCCCAGAAATCCCCCCCCAAAAAAAAAGCCTGGCATAGTAGTGTTACATACATGACATGAGAAGTCACGCTGAACAGTTAGAGATCCGTAAAGGAAAAGTTCTTTACCTGCAACCAGATACGGTGCTGCCCAAGGGTGCCAGCCTCGGATAGAAGGTTTTACTACCTCACATCCATGTTAGGCTGGTGCATCTTGTATACACCATCCCCCTCAAATATCTCTCAGGTCCAGACCCCGATTACATCTTGAACTTACTAAGTAAAGATGGGAAACTCCAGTCTGAGCACCTGGGCAGATGGGAGATTGTAGGGCCAAGACGTTGTCAGAATTATTTAAGTACCTCAGTGTTGTCCTTGAAGACTTGGTACCCAGGGTCATCCTGTCCACCTGGCAGAGTTATGCTTTTCCTGATGAGAGCACAAAGGGACTTAGTGGCAGACCAGGACTGTAGTAGTTATGGCCCTGCACAGGCTCCTTGAGCTTCCTCATAAGGCGTGTTCTTTGGGGATGGGGCTAATGGCTGGTCAGTACTGGTGAACATTGCAAGTTCTGCTTCTTTCTTTCTTTTTTCTTTAGGGGGCGATAGGTTAGAAACAGGGTTTCTCTGTGTAACCTTGGCCGTTCTGGAACGATCTCTGTAGACCAGGCTGGCCTCGAACTCACAGAAATCCTCCTGCCTCTGCCTCCCAAGTGCTGGGATTAAAGAATTACACTGCCACTGCCCAGTAAATTTTGCTTATTTCTTTTTTTAATAATTTGGTTTTTTATTTTGTATGCATTGGTATTTTGCCTGCATGTATGTCTGTATGAGGGTGTCAGGTCTCCTAGAACTGAAGTTACAGCCATGGGGTGTTGGGAATTGAACCCAGGTCCTCTGGAAGAGCAGCCCGAGGTCTTTAACTACTGAGCCATCTCTCCAGCACCTAATTTTGCTTATTTCTCAATAGGCCTGGTTAGCATACTACTTACCTTTGGATATTTTGGAGGCAGCACTCCCTTAGCTAAATTCTGCTTTGTGTGATTTAATGTATCCCAGGCAAGTCATTACTAAATCCTTCACGCCCTCAATTCTATCTGTGCAGTGTGTACTTGTACAGTGCATAGAAACTTCCTCCGTCCTCTGTGTTCCTGTCCTTCCTTCAAGAATGGTGCGGCAGACAGCTAAGGGCACAAATGGGAGCTACTTTACTGTTGATTCAGGATTAAAATAAGTTAAAACAGATGGCCTGTCTACCCCAACAGTAATCCCGGTGTTTGATGGCAAAGACAGGTAGATCCCTGTGGCTGACTGGCCAGCTGGCTTAGCCTCCTTGGCAGGTTCAGGCCAGTGGGAGACCTTGTTTTTTTTTTTTTTTTTTTTTTTTTATTTTTTTTTTTTTATTTTAAGTGGCATTTGAGGAATGACACCTGAGGTTTTTGTTTTTGTTTTTTGTTTTTTTTTTTTTTCTGTCCTCCACATTCACTGCATACACACAAACACCAACTGCTGAAGTTATACTAAGTAGCAAATACTAAGCTGGCCACAGTTAAATCCCCAGAGCAGCCCACAAAAAATATACATGTACACTGAGCATGCAAAATCCCAGAGTCTGGACTGGTGACATGGTTCACAGGGTAAAAGCACCAGACTTGATGGCCTGAGGTTGGAAAGTGGTTCTGCCCTTCCCACCCCACCTCATCTTTGAAATTGGGGCCAGTACCTGCTAGCCGCTGGATAGCTGCCCTTGAGTGCTTCCCTGGGCACCTCAAAGTTCTCATGTCCTGAAATGGACACATCTCCACCTCCTCTGAAGGGTAGCAGAAGCACCCTGTTGTCTATTTAAACTGGTGGAGCAACACTCAGACTCCAGTCATAGGTGACTTTGCCAGGCTCCTCCCTCTCCCCTTTGGGATCTAGCAGCTGCCTATCCACCTGTGACTCTTCTCCTTTGACTCTGACACCACCTGTTCTTCCAATCAAAGTGGTGATGCTAATTCCCTGTGTGTTTGGCCACTGCTCCCTTGTTGCATCTCTGGTGTTCTTTGATGAGAACATGACCAGTTCCTGATGTGGGATTCCCCTCTGCATGCTGTTAATATGTTTTATTACCATTGGTTAATAAAGAAGCTATTTGGCCTATGGCAGGGAAGAATATAGCTAGGAAGGAAATCCAAGCAGAGATAGAAGGCAGAGTCAAGAGAAACATGAGCAGCCACAGGAGAAGCAAGATGTGAGATAACAAGCCATGAGCCTCATGGTAAAATTTGGAATAATGGAAATGGGTTAAGTTGTAAGAGCTAGTTAATAATAAGCCTGAGCTAATAGGCCAAACAGTTTGTAATTAATGTAAGTTTTTGTGTGATTGCTCGGGACTGAGCAGCCAGGAAATGAAAATGCAATCTCCAGTTGTAAGTACCTGCATCTCTGATCACAGATACATTCTGGTTATTTTAGTTGAGACCATAGTTATAACCCTATACTTACAGCTGCCCTATGTCCTAGGTTCCCCTCTCTATAGTAACTCGCCAGCCTGTTGTGGTATAGGTCAGTTGGTAAGTGCTTGCTTAGCATGCATGAAGTCTTGGGTCTAGTCTCTAACACCTCATAAACTGGGAGTGGTGGCATACACCTGTAATCCCAGGTAGATCAGACGTTTAGGGTCATACTTAACTACGTAGTGAGAAGTTAGGCTCAGATATAGAAGATCCTGTCTCCAAAAACTAACCTATCAAGTTTGTTCAGTTTACCACTCAAATGTTTCTCAAGACACATTCCTCCCATTCAGTTGTTTAAGAAGGAGCTTTTGCCTGGGACTGGAGAGGTGGCTTTTGCAGAAGACTTGGGTTCAATTCCCAGCACCACCACATGGCAGCTAGCAACTGTAACTCCAGTTCCAGGGCATCTGATGCCCTCTTCTCATCCCTTCTGGTACACAGGAAAAATGCCCATACCCATGAAATAAAAATAAATACCTCTTACAAAAGAAAAGTATCTCACCATCTACATCAATATTAGTGAAACAGTCAAATATGCCGCTCAGGTGCCAAATAGAATCACATATTTAAGCAGGGTGTGGTGGTATCAGATTCCTTAATCCCTATGCCCAAGAGGTAGAAGCAGGAGGATCGGGAGTTCAGGGTCATCCTCCTCTATGTACCTAACCCTCGGCCAGCCTGG